TTACATCCATGTATTTAGCTCTCCCCGAATAAAGAAGCAGTCCCATGCTGCTCTCCGTCTTAACTGGAAACATCAAGTAGAACTTTGTCCTAACTACATCCCACTTCTCACTTTTCAAACAGCAATGATAACACATATCTGCTGCTTAACTCTTATGCATGTATTAAATGTACATGATAGCGGGGTTCTGTGTACATGTGTGCAGCATGCACTGGTCAAGGTAGAGTGAGTAGCATTTCTCTCCCATCGGTTTAAGTTTGGAGCCCTTCATTTCTCTTCTAGTTCTTCATAAAGTATGGGACAGGTCCTGCAAGCTGTACTTGCCCTCTGCGTTATGAGATGGTAGAACTTATTCCTTCTGTGTGACTATTCCAGCACCCCATTACCCTCACTTAAACCACTCCCTGCATCCTTCCTAATCTCTAAAAGTCACTACCCCACTTTCAGGTTGACATGGTCAACCTCCACATATAGCTTATTTCATTTAGCACAGCATCCTTTAGTTCCATTCATTGTACTGCAAGTAGCAGTGTTCATTCTTCCTTCTGGCTAACTAGCATCTCATTGTGTGGGGGGGAGCAGGGGGTACTCAGACTAAAAGGGAGATCATGAGAGAAGAAGAAGGTATCTTATTGAGGGATTAGTGGGAAATAGAATATATGTAACCTGAAAGCAGAAGAGACAGCTATTTGGGCAAAGAAAAAGGACCAGCAAACCAGCAGGGGAATTCAAGGAAGATAGTATGGAGGGGGAATGAATGAGAACAAAGTATAACTATATGTATGTATGCATATCCTACAATAAAACCGTGTGTGCTAACTTAAAAATTTAAAGAAGCAAAACCTGTCACTGGTTTTTATGTTCTGGAATCTTACAAGTCTGATGCAGCCAGATCTTGACTCCTGATTTTATACATTATTTTTGTTTATTGCCCATTAGTTCAAATGCTTCCTGACAACCTAGAGGTTTGTTGTTACTGTTGTTTACTTATTTGTTTGTGATAGGGTCTATCCCAGGTTGCCCTCAAATTCACAATTCTTTCAAACGGCTGGAGTTACAGGTGTAGCCCACCACTCTCAGTGAGGCTAGTGTTCGTTAGATTCTGCCTATCGCTTATTATTTCCTTGGGACTTTCCAATGCACAAGACCCTCTTTTTTGTGGGACAAGGGTTCTATTTTAGCATGTATTTCAGAAAAATCGCATCTGTAGACTTAATGTCCAGGGTGATGAGTCTTCCCTTTTTGTGTTCTCCAGCCCCTTGACCATGTGGAATCTCCTTATATCCATTGACAGAAAATGGTTAGTCTTATTACCAAAAATCGAGTCCTGCCACAGGTTAAAGACATGGCAAGTCTGGTTACAGGATTCTAGTATACAAAGATGATAAGCCTCCTTGTTGCGAGAAGCTTTTTCCTTGCTAGCCGCTTTGGTTTATCCCCCGCCAGTCACCTGGGCTCTGCAGCTTTGTAGTCCCCAAATAAACACACAAGACGCTGTATTAATTATGAAGCTGTTGGCCTTGCTTGTTTCTTACTGGCTAGCTCTGACTTAAATAATTACCCCATAATTGTTAATCTAAGTATGTCTCTTACCAGAGAGGTTTCCGGGCTTCCTACCCCAATGGCGTTACATCTCGACTCTTGTGTTTCTCCTTCCCAGAATCCTCCTGGACTCCTAGTCCCTCCTATCTAGATTCCCTATTGGCCAGACAGTGCTTTATTGGCATAAGACTTCCCCAACATCTCATCTTTTCTGTTTAAACAAAAAGAAAGGTCTTAACTTTAACATAGTCAAATTGTATATGACAGAACAGTTATCAAGTAAGAACACAGTTACAACATTTTGTCTATTAACATTTAGCAAGATCTAAAGAAAATATCATCCATCCCATCCTTGTGAGTCCAAAGTCCTATATGTAGCTTATCTTTTATCATAACTAAGGAAAACTAAAATTATAACTATTTGCCTTCAATTCTATCAAAGACCACAGAAGGATAATATATAAACACTAGGATTGATAGACACATCTTACTGCCTGGACAGTCACCCGAAGTTCTTCTGTAACGTTGGGGCATCCATCTTCAGCCCATGGGCCACAATGTGTCCAGAAGATTTCTCAGCAAAGCAGGAAATTTCAAACTGTCCATCTGCATTGGCAGTCTGTCAGTCATTTTTCTTTGTCCTGCAGAAAGTCTCATAGACTCTTCCATGAAGCAGGAACCCTGTAAGACTGAATTCAGCAGTCACTTTCCTGTGGGTCCTGCATGTCCAGTTTATACAGCAACAGTCAAACATTCTAGGCAAGAGCAGTTTCTTGCCCAAATGGCTAATCTTGCCATGTTGAAAGCAAACTCCATAACGAGTTTCTTCGATGCCCATCTCAGACTTAATTGGTGCTGCCAGGAGCAGACATTTCTCATTGTCAAGAAAAACCCTAAACCATTTTAAATGCCATTTTCTGAAGGTCTTTGAAAGGTTTGAAGACTATCTATCTCAAATATATTTCTGTATATCTAGAAAATCTAACTTACCTAACTATAAATTCTATTATAAGTAACTATATATAGTCTGTATTCAATTATGCATTACATTTTAAAAGATCAGTATAAGTACAATACTTAATCAAGAGGAGAAATATAAACATCACAAAATTGACCTTGAATTTGTATCAATAAATGAAAAACAATACCCATACCATAATTCCCCTTTTTACCATTAAAAAAGATTGGCTGTGATCATTAACCAATTATAAACAACCCCATTTAAATGAAAACAAAGATTTATAAACAAGATGGGAATCAGGACGTCGCTCATTCCAAACTGCTTCGTGCTGGAAGGGGGCGCTGTTCATACCATGGGGATCATGACAAAACTCAGAAACCTGTATAAGTCCGTATTTTCGGGGTCTATAAAGCTCCATTATCTTAGCTGTCTCAATTGTTGGAACATCTGGTCCACTGCTTCCGGGGGTCTTGGTTCGTCAAACCACAGAAGTCTGGAAGGAATCCTCAGCTTTTTATGTTCTGTGGAAACATAAATTAAAACTCCTTTTCCGAGTAACATATCCTTATACTTAAATTTTGACGTCAAGGCATTTTCAAAAGATATAAGTTGAATTAATTCAGTAGCATTTATAATCAAGTGTACTTTAGCAGTTGCTCCTTCCTTAGCAATGAAAAAACTGAAAAACACAATAGTGTACAGTATCCAGACTCTCTGTGTGATTTCCATCTTTACGTGGCTTATTTATTTATCTATTATTACTTTATTTCTTTCACTTTCATTTATTTTTCTCTGAGACAGGGTTTCTCTTTGGAATTCTGCCTGCCTCTGCCTCTGGAGTAAATCCTACCGGCGTGCACCACCACAACGCCGGCTTTTATATTTATATACCACTTTCCTGTTTTATTTTCTCTCTTAATCTCACGTATATTTTTAAACACACTGTAAACCTTTAGAGGTTTTCTTTATCGAAGTCTGACTTTACTGTAAATCTTTACGTTTTTCTGGCCACGTGTCTTATCTGTAAAACCGCGGCTGTTTTAAACTGGTTTTTCGTCAAGATGGCAGGCGTAAGCGTGACTCCAGCTTACCGCCTCAGTCCATGCTGACCTCCAGCAAAAGCTGTCACTTTCAGCTGTACATACAAACCTTTTAATCGTTAGCAGAGTCTCTTAAAAGAACCTCGTTGGGTTTTTTTTCCTTTTTCTTTTTATGCCGAGTCAGGAAGACTCCGGTAAGCGAGCCACGTGAATCTTGGCTTGTCGCTAGCAAAACAGAGCGCACCTGAGAAAATGCTGCTACCAAAATCTGTGCTTCTCTCCGTTCTTCTGTTTCTAAAATTCCTTTAAAGCTTTTGTTATTTTGCGTGGAAATTCAATCCCGCTCCTGACAACCATTTTGTTAAGAGAAGCTTTTTCTTGCTAGCCGCTTTGGTTTATCCCCCGCCAGTCGCCTGGGCTCTGCAGCTTTGTAGTCCCAAATAAACACACAGGAGGCTATATTAATTATGAAGCTGTTGGCCTTGCTTGTCTCTTACTGGCTAGCTCTGACTTAAGTAATTACCCCATAATTGTTAATCTAAGTATGTCTCTTACCGGAGAACAGTCGGGCTTCCTACCCCATGGCGTTACATCTCGACTCTTGTGTTTCTCCTTCCCAGAATCCTCCTGGACTCCTAGTCCCTCCTATCTAGATTCCCTATTGGCCAGACAGTGCTTTATTGGCATAAGACTTCCCCAATACCTCCTACAAAGGGAAAGAAACAGCCTCAGTAAAGAACAGGACAAGAAAAAAAAAATGAAGCTGCATCAGCATAAAGGATGAAGAAAATGCCTGATAATCTTGTCAGACATGGCTATGAGTTAAATCAGCATTTTCCAACTCTCCCCCTTCTGGAGACCTGTCACTGGGGACAGTGTGATATAGACCTAGCTGTGTCCTTGCCCAGGGCTGACAGATGGACAGAATGACCCCGTAGCAGCCTTCCCAGCCCCACACTTCTGTTTGCTCACAACCTCGCAAGCTAGGGAAGGGACCAGCTGCTTTAGAGACAACAGGTGACTTTTTGTCCCTGCAGGGGAAGCCTGTCATCCAGGTTTCAGGACTGTGAAAGCAGGAGGAAGGGGGCTGCCAAATGCAGTGAGCCACAATTTCCTTGTGTGGCAGGAAAGAGGATGGTTTGTATCTTTCCCTTTCTCAAACTTATTCAAATGTCTATACAATAAATGTAAAAGTAGAATTTTAAAACTTTGCCCCATTTTTTTACCTTGTGACTTGAATATTTTGTGAATTAAGATCAGACTATGACTCTGATGAAGTTCAGGGCACAAATTTAATCCAGATCGGATGAGAGTTTAACCCTGGGCGTGTAAGCATTGGGACTACTCTGTGGGTGTTTGCCGTTTCTGTATTCAGACAAGATGATGTACTTGCCATCATGACATGGATTTTCCCACCTACACTACATATGAATTATAGGTTGGTTCCTGCACTATAGGTGGACCTGTGGCAGCCCAGCAGTATCTCCTATGTGTCTGAGGGGACAGTCACTGATGTTCATATTCCCCAAAATGCGTCCAGAACCCTGTTAACCTTCCTCCAGGGAGCCCGCATCCAGTACACGTAAGCATTCTTTTTCATTTGCTCCAAATTTTACTGGTACTAAATCTAACTGAATGGTGACTATATTAGGTTATCTATCAAAAGCTTCTGAAAGGGTTTTTCATTGTAAGACAGTAAAAGTGTGTTTGTTCACCTTCGAAGAACTCATCTGTCCAATGGGGTAAAGGAGCAACCACAAAAATACGCGTTAGTTTTTCACAGCTAGCACTAAGTCATCAATGCCAACACAGTCTTTTCCTGGGAGGGAGGGAGGGAGGGAGGGAGGGAGGGAGGGACGGAGGGACGGAGGGACGGAGGGACGGAGGGACGGAGGGACGGAGGGACGGAGGGACGGAGGGACGGAGGGACGGAGGGAGGGATACAGAGCACCATTTGGCAATGCTAAAAAGGCCAAAAGGGAGGCCAAGAAGAAATGGTTTTCCACAGCAGCCTGCTTAGCAGCAGAAAACGGGGTAAGTCTCAGTCTCAGAACCTGCCAGACATGGGGGACAGTGCAAACAAAGGAAGGCTGCATGGAGGGTCAGTGTCAGAACAGAAAGGCAGGTGAGGCGGCAGAGAAGGCACAGAGAGGGGAGGCAGGGGGAGGAGCCCAGGCTGCTGTGGGTTGTGCTGCCCCCTGGAGGATATAAGCAAAAGTGCCCGGTATTTGTGGAAGGAACTGCAATAGCAGAAGAGAGAAATAGTCCAAATAGCAGGGGGAGGATTCCAAACAATCTTCCATGGGTAAAACTACCCAGGCTCTCCACTCGGTTGGAGGGTAAAAATGGGAGAAGTTGGAAGAGGACACTAAGCTTTCTGGCTTGGAAAAGACTGAGCAAACAGTTGTGAGAAGACGCGCATATATATTCAGACGTTTCTAAGTGAAGAGTTGTGGTGGAAGAGAATAAGTCGGGACAGCTATGGGAGGCGAGGAAGAAAAGAATGATTTCAGAGAAGGCGGGGGGGGGGCGGTTCACAACTGCAGCAATGCCGAGTAATAAAGGGACAAATGGACGTTATGTTGCTGACATTCGTGAAGAGATTCAGTTGTGAAGAATAGAAGACCGGAAGGTGACAGGAGGTTGAGAACAACAGAGGCAGAGCAGTCACCTCCTAGCGGTCACAATAAGGAGAGACCACAGGGCAAGGAGTGACCACCAAGACATGAGCATCAGCGACTGCTCAGAAGGCTTGAGATCCCTGTCAGAAACCTGGCATGTCTACAGCCTGGGGGAAGGACCTTAAGGGAGCAGATACTAGAGATGCTAGCGAGTTTTGAGCAGCAGGGAACCGACCTTATCTCCTGACATCACCTGAATAAATGTGGGTCAATTTCAGATAATAGAGCCAGCCATCAAGGTACATGCCTGTAATACCAGTACTCTGGAGGCTGAGGTAAGAGGATTACAGATTTTAAGACAACCTGGAGTACACAATGAGTTCTAGGCCAGTTTGAGCCACAAAGCAAGACCCAGTTCCCCCACCGCCACCCCCACACCAAAAAAAAAAAAAAAGCAAGTCCATAATTTGAAAGAAAACTCAGCTGGTGATTTTCTGAAGCAAGAAACAAAATTATTTGTAAGATGTGAAGGAACCGTTCTAAAGGATGTTGCCAAGAGAAAAGCGGAAGTGGGAACCAATGGACTGATTGCTACTGAGAAGAGAGTATAAAGTTGATAGAGGTTGGTGGTCTGCTGGATAGGAGTGTAGAAAGATTGTCATGGTGAGGAAGGGGGAATCCTGGAGAAATACCTGTTCAAGGGTTCATCAGGGATATCTAGTCTGGATAAGGAAGGGAGAGATTCTAGGAGAAAGTGTGGGAGAACATAGAAGAATCAAGGAAGGTAAGAAGGTCTCTATATTAGACGCAAGGATAATGTACCTGAGAAGGACGGACAAGAAGGAAAGACATTCTGACAAAATGTAGGTTAAATGTGGGTTAAAGAAAGTTATGAATCCCGGAAAAGAAAGTTTGTGACTGGTGGCAAGATCAAGGTACCAGTGACATCCTCGGTCACACAAACAGAAAAATATCCACAGCTATTAAACACCGGCATGCTTTCTGTAGAAAGGTGTTTTGTCTGTGCCAAGAAGCATTGTTCATATCACATTTTCATCATTTCCATAGCTTGGAAGGTGTGCTTTGATACTTGGCATGCCTCATGGGAAAGAACTTGGTAATTATATCTATAGGTGCAGGAACAGCTCAGAATGCTCCATTAATTATTGTTCAGTAGAAAAGAACACACCAGTTAGTTTAACCAGTCTCTATTTTCTGCCATTAAGTATAGTTCATGTGGGACTGATATAAAAAAAATCACACTTTGTGTCACAGAGAATAAAGGGGGAAAAATAAGTATTTTAAATCAGTTGTTTCCTCATGAAGAACAATCGCTTAAAATTACTCATTGTTAGTCCCAAGATAATAACACATAAGAGTCAATTAAATTCTGTAGGCACAGTAGGTAGAGATCATTTTAATTGACTTTTATTATTGTAGCCTGGGGTACTTTCAAAAGATTATCATTTACTCTGTGCAACTGTACAGAATGTATCGTTATAGTGATCTGTAAAGCTAAAGTAATGTCACTCATTGTTTCTGGCCTCTGGGTGGTCAACCTTCTCAATGAGATGACTCATTCCTCTATTTAAAAAAGACATTTTATAAATACCTGTAAAAATTTGCAATGAAATTTCCATTTTGAGAGCTCTCCCCTAGCTCTTAAAATGGAAGTGGGGGGTAGGTAGTTTTGCATTAAGTAATGACATCATTTGAAAAGGTTTTGATAGTTCTTGGCACCATGATAGGACTATGCCCAGTTGAGATAAGAATCACAACAGGACCAGCCAGATGGCTCTATGGGTAGAGGAGCCTGCTTCCATGCCTGACCACATGTGTTCAAGCCAAAAGACCCACACAGTTGACGAAGGGAACAACTCCCTTGAGATGACTTTGACCTACACACACAGAGATATGCACACACACACACACACACACACACACACACACACACAAAGAGAGAAAGACACAGACACAGACACACCATGGCATGAACTCATTCATACACACAATCACAAATAAATAAATGTAATAGGATAACCACAATCGGCTATAAAAACTAAGAAAACGCCGTGGTTTGGAAACATTTGGGAACCAGCTGGTTTCCACTCAACTTCTTGACCAGAAAATAGGGCTGGCCTTTCACATTACAGCTGTTCTGTATTTTAAGATCAGCCTCTTACAAGCCTGTATTAAATACAGACTAAGTGACTGCAGAGGCCTGTATCAGTTTGCTGAAGTCACTGTAACGAGGAGCCCCAGCCTGTGAGACCCTTTCAAGCTGGACATTCAGAAGGACTTTCTCATGAAATGTGCTGGGTAAGGCAGACTATCTACCCTTCATTTGTAGGACAGAAAAGAAGTTCACAGGAGGCAAACAGACCTGCAGCTTGCCTGCCGCCACTGGAATGGTGGCAGTCTATTACTGTATCTCCCCTAATCAAACCCACCTCCTTCCTGACCATCCAGGATCCCTCCAAGAACAAGGAACCTTAGACATTCACGTAGTTCTTATTAGCTCCTAAAATCTGCCTCAGCCATACTGCAGTCATTTAGGCCAGGCACCTAATCACCATAATTTCTAGTCTCTGGGAAGAAAGTAACCACTGATAGTGAAGATGTTTGGTTTGACAAGTGACATGCTACTGCAGGCCGCTACCAAGAAAACTAAGAAGTCTTGTGCCACCTCCCCTCTCCTGGCATTTCTAACTGCAAAAAGCAAAAGCGAAACAAAAGGAATAAATCAGAGGTCGATTTCTGACTAGCCTGTGTGGGGACTCAGGACATAACAAGTCAGTCAGTCCTTAGTACCTGATACCTAAGTAAACTGTTTTCTTCAGGGGCCAAAATGTGGGAACACCAGACCTTGAGCAGAGACCCACTTCCCCTTCTGCCTGGGAGTAGGCAGCTGTAAGACAATGTTTAGTAAAAACATGTTTACTAAAAATGATACAATAAGTTCCTGGGAAAGGCCTTCCCACAGAAACCGCCCTGACCTCGACCTTGTCCAAAGACTAACCACACCTTCAAAAACCCACACACATCCACCTCTGGTGTCAGAGCAATTGTGGGAACACCAGACCTTGAGCAGAGACCCACTTCCCCTTCTGCCTGGGAGTAGGCAGCTGTAAGACAATGTTTAGTAAAAACATGTTTACTAAAAACGATACAATAAGTTCCTGGCCACTTCCCCTTCTGCCTGGGAGTAGGCAGCTGTAAGACAATGTTTAGTAAAAACATGTTTACTAAAAATGATACACGGAAACCGCCCTGACCTCGACCTTGTCCAGAGACTAACCGCACCTTCAAAAACCCACACACATCCACCTCTGGGGTCAGAGCAGAACCAGCCAGGGTAGAGGAGAGAGCAGAAGCTTCTCTGGTGGGAGCTTTTCTTAGGAGGTTTTCTTGAACCTTTTTGGAGCCTGTTTAAAGTTTTCTTTATATCATTGAACGAGTCTCTGTGTTTTCAATACCCGACACCCTCCGCACGTTCTCGGACACAGGCCGCACCAAGAAAACTAAGAAGTCTTGTGCCACCTCCCCTCTCCTGGCATTTCTAACTGCAAAAAGCAAAAGCGAAACAAAAGGAATAAATCAGAGGTCGATTTCTGACTAGCCTGTGTGGGGACTCAGGACATAACAAGTCAGTCAGTCCTTAGTACCTGATACCTAAGTAAACTGTTTTCTTCAGGGGCCAAAAAGTATGTACCCAGTACATGATAATTCTTTTCATTAAGTGGCTTAGATAGATTAGCGTAAATGTCACTTAGAGATGCTACCATGTGTTGTTTAATAGAATTTACCCCATAAGCAACAGGCTCTTTTTGGAAAATAAAATATAAAAGCCACACTTTTAAGGCACCTACCACAGTGAGAGCACTCATCAAAGATCTCTCCAACATCTGGAAATATTGAAGATGAACAGAGTTCCTGTCTCTCCATGCCATCCTAGTGAGTGGTAGCCAGTAGCAGTGTTAAGACATGCCTCTACTCTAGCTCCGATGCTACATCAACAACATGGACTGTTCCACCACAGCACTGGGCCTGCCATCCCTGGACTGGCCTCAGCCCTCCCCCCCCCCTTCCAAATGCATCTAGTGTTCAGAACAGAGCTTCTCTTCCATGGAATCCTTAGTGCTGCGGGACAATGATATAGACTTTTCCCACCTTTGTATTTGCCGGTTTCCTCTTGAGAACTAAAGCTCCTCCCATCCTTTCTCTTCCCTGGATCCAGGATGCTGGATGATGGCACATCAGCAGGTAGAGGCTTCAGGAAAGATGTGGAAAAGGGGCCCAGACCAGCCAAGGCTCTGTTTTCATTATGCCACACTGGACTTGAGGTCACAAGATGAGACTTCAGGATCACATCACAAGTCCAGATGCTGTCTTTGCATTCCCAGTGGAACGACACTGGCAGATTCTTAACCCTATTGAGTCTCAGGCTTCTCACTTATAAGATGGAAATAACAGAACCCTACACAACACACAGCACAGTGGCTGGTCCCTGGGAAGCAGCCATTACTGCGTAGTTATAGATGCTCACTCCATAGCAGCTATTATTACAGTGCTGCTAATATTTACAGACGTCTGACTATAATTTTACACTTTAAATTCATTACAACATTTACATAACAGTTTTTGTTTCCTGGAAAAGAGCACTTTCTCAACATTTGGTATTTTTAGAAATGCCACTCTCTGCGATCTTTGTTTTCCTTTCAACCATGGAACACTGGGACGTTTCCATGCTAGTTCATTCTGTATGTAATTCTCTGCTGGCATTGCCTGATTTTTGCATGCTCTTGGCTTACTTTTTCACCATGTCTACTATTTCAAATCCAGGGTCCTCATAGAAGATCTTCAGAAAGCTGTGGAAAATGAAAACAATTTGCAAACTCAGAGAAACAGAAGGTCTCTGTCTGAATACAACTATGAGGTGTATCACTCCTTAGAAGACGTATGTAATCAAAGGACCTTTTAATGTTGGGTTTTTTTAAGGTTAATTTATTTATTATATACAGTGTTCTGCCTGCATGTATGCCTGCATGCCAGAAGAGGGCACCAGATCTCATTATAGATGGCTGTGAGCCACCATGTGGTTGGTGACAATTGAACTCAGGACCTCTGGAAGAGTCCCCTGTGCTTTTAACCTCTCTCCAGCCCTGTTGTTATTGTTGTTTTGTTCAAGTTCATCTTTGTGGTTTTTGGTATAAGGATTAGAGAGAATTGTGAAGTCAGAGATGCAGACTCTAGGAAGAACATACAGAATACTATATGGCTTGGGCCACCTGGTTCATACATCTCTCCATTGGTCCTTTTACTGCTAAATAAGAAGTATCAAAATAATAGGCCAGAGAGATATGTCAGTGGAGAAGATCACTTGCTGCTCTTGCAGAGGACCCTGGTTCGTTTGGGTCCCAGCACCTACAGGGTAGCTCCCAACTGTTGTAACTCAGTTCCAGGGAGTCTGATGCCCTCTTCCGCCCCACCCCCAAAGGTGGCTTATAGCATGGAGTGCACATATACACACGCAGGCAAACACAGGTACACATAGAATAAAAGATGCTTGCATAAAAAGAAGTCATAAAATAATTTGCATCTTACTTCACCCAAATAAAGCCCACAAGGACATGGGGAATGAGTGAACAGTAAGGTAAGTGGTGTTAAAACCAGGGCTATAAAGACATTAACTAAAAAGCCATGGAAGGAACATAGCTAACCAGAGTTGGAGGGCAGTGCATTGGCTAAGGCACACAGTAGACTCTCATACGAGTCTTGCAGCCTTGCAAATGTTAGGCATCCCGACAGCCAGCCTGCATCAGCAGCGTCTCCGCCTATACTGTCATAATCCATGTGGAAAACTCACAGCACTCTTGTCCTCACTGACACACACAAATTTAGTCTTTACCCGACAACTTACCAGTCTTCACATTCTAACTTAAGCAAGCAAGACATTCTTTGTTCTGCGGGGCTACATAGAGCCTCTGTTTCTCAAATCCCAGTGTCTATGGCACACAGATGGGACACTGTTCATGGGTCACACTCTAACGGGAATTGACTGATAGCCTCTGTGCTAAAAAAAGAAAAAAGAAGCTGCATGTCCTATGAGGAGGGCCAAGGGTTTACTATGTTCACAACTAATCCCCAATGCAGGCAAAGAGAGTCCTCCAAATAGAGAAATTGTTGGCAGAATAAAGGGATATATATTTTTTCATGTTTCCTCTACATTCAACAAAGGGATTCCAGACACAAAATTAATAAGATTCTACTATATTATTGAAGAGTGTTTTTCATTATGCTGAGGATAATTCTCTTTTCAAAGTTCCTTTTGCATATTTCCATGTCTCAACATACTTTTTAGAAGCTTGAAATTAAAAGCAATAAAAGGTTTCAGATAAGTTGACACATGGGAGCACATTAACACATCCTAGAAAAAAGTCAAATTTCAAAACTAGGTGCAGCTATGTGTGGGCATATATATATATGTGTGTATATATATATATATATGTGTGTGTGTGTATTATGTACGCACATACACACACGTGCATATACATATATATGTGTGAAGGATTGTTAGATTATATGAGAATAAAAGGAAAGCATGAGTACTTCCTAAAATACACTTACATCTTCTTTCAGCACAGACCTCTCACATCACAGAACAGTGGGACACTTCCATGTGACTTCTTTGTTGCTTGCCAGGCTTTTAAGTCAGAAATGTCACCCTTCTTTCTCAGCACACATTTTATCTATCAAAATATCTCTTCTTCTGATGACAGATAAGTGTACATGAATGGACTGATGCAATGCACACAGGAATTATGCAGAATATGCCTTCCAGTGGCTCAGCAGAATATCCTTAAATGTGGTGCTACTGTCCTTTCCCGGCAGCTTCTGCTCTGTCCCAAACTACAATGTATGAGACTTTAATGGCTCTTGAGTCATTTGGCAGGTTTATCAGAAGATATTTTTCTTTCTGTCTTCCTTTCTCTTTCTTTTCCTCTTTAATTCCTGTGGAGAAATGTAAATAAATTTGGAATTTTCAAAAAGAAGCCATGCCAGGCATCGGTGGAATACGCCTTTAATCCCAGCACTCAGGAGGCAGAGGCAGGTGTATTTGTGTGAGTCTGAGACCAGCCTGGTCTACAGAATGAGTTCTGGGCCAGCCAGGGATTTTCACACAGACAAACCCTGTCTTGAAACAAACAAACAGAGCCAGAAGACCCTAGTGATACAGTAGTAAAAGGTATCTTTTAAAGGGGTAACAACAAAAAGACCTAGACTACTGGCTGTCAGCAGAGAACATAAGTTGCCATTTTAAGTATCCTAAAGAAAACTAAAAGCAGACAGTGGGGTTTTCCTCCCTGTGTGTTCTTTGAATTTTGGAAGCCACTGTTGTCTTTTGCCACCTTGTGTCTCTCTAAGAGTCCATGTGTCGTGAGGAACTTTGACCTAAGTTTTCCTCCTCTGCCTTCAGATTCAGAGTTGGATGTACCATCTGAACCAAACTCAACCAAGCCTCGTTCAGGTTTTCTCCATCGGGAGATCGTATGAAGGAAGACCACTCTTTATCTTACAGGTGAAAAGAAAAAAATGTTAACACAAGATATGTATCTCCTTCAGTTTGACTTGTGGGAAGAAACGAAATATTTTAATCGTCTTACTAACTTAAGGGAAATTGCCTTGGATCTTAGAGCAAGGTTTAATGGCAGACTTGGATATTCCAGGAATTACTGTTTCTGAGACGCAAAGTTCTTGATGGTTATGGGTTGGTGCTACTTACCATGACCCAATCAGAATTGATAAATGTGAAGAAGTTATCTTTGCCTCCTGCTGCTAATCACACATTCTGACCTCCAGCTCTCCTCTTCTTTATCATTTACCTGATCACCATCCCCTTCCCTGCCTCCCTTCAGAGGGTGAATCACTGGGCTTTTCACCCAGGACTCCTTTAAAACTCCTCTTGGGGATGGGTGCTGAGCCAGCCTCCACCGACAAGCCATTGCTGCAGGCTCCTTCGCTGGCTTCTCTTTCCTTGTCCTCCCCTGTGGTTCTGGCCATCCCCACTCTTCTCTCATTCTACACACTCCACCCAAAAGGTCACATCTGCCCATGATTAAAACCATCCTAGATCTTCCTAGTTTGTAGAGCTCTAAACTAAAGCAGTACACCTTCACCTAGAAATTCACAAATGCTCCTGAGACTTGTCATGATACCACACTATCTTCCCAGCTTAGAAATGTGTCTCCCTAAATTTCTCTTCTCTGTAGTAATCACTCACTTGGAATTTACCACCAAAAAATGGGCTCGGTGCTCTCGCACCCTCTTTTCTCTGTCTTCACTGCTGATGCCTGAATATACCTTTGAATCTGTTCTCCCTGGACTATTTCAATAGCGGCCTCAATGCTGGACATCAACAGTAACAATCCTTGTCCCACTCATCCTCCAAGCTGTCAGTGTGAACTCACCCTCTAACCCAGCATCCACACTGCTGTCAGTGTGAACTCACCCTCTAACCCACCCTGCACACTGCTGTCAGTGTGAACTCACCTTCTAACCCATCATCCACACTGCTGTCAGTGTGAACTCACCCTCTAACCCAGCATCCACACTGCAGTCAGTGTGAACTCACCCTCTAACCCAGCATCCACACTGCTGTCAGTGTGAACTCACCCTCTAACCCAGCATCCACACTGCAGTCAGTATGAACTCACCCTCTAACCTTCCACACTGCTGTCAGTGTGAACTCACCCTCTACCCCAGCATCCACACTGCTGTCAGTGTGAACTCACCCTCTAACCCAGCTTCCACACTGCTGTCAGTGTGAACTCACCCTCTAACCCTCCACACTGCTATCAGTGTGAACTCTCTCTCTACCCCACCCTACACACTGCTGTCAGGGTGAACTTTCTAAACTAGCAAACATATATGGGAAGAGTATATAAGGCAGAAGGGAGAGAGATCATAGACTATGAGGTGTAGCTTTGTCCCTTCCACACAGCACCTAGGGACTTCATTAGTTCCCTACCTCTGTTCAGCATCATTTGCTGATCCTTCCTCAAATACAGCATCTTTCGATTCTTTCCAGCTCTACATGTCTTCCTGTAACTGGTTTTCCCAACAAGCATCCTGTCCTGCTTAAATATTCAAGCCTCCTTTTATTCCCCATGAGAATTCAAGGAAACATGCCATGTTCCTACAGTAACATATAGACAGTCACATCCTGAAGTTGGATAGATTGTTCTCACATCTGCTCTTCTCACCAGCACAGACATCTCTTGACTGTTCATCTCTGAATCTCCAGAGCTGAGCCTGATGTCTGACACTGAGAAGCACTTCCCAACATGTTAACCAAGTGAACTAATGAGTGAATAATAGCATGGTCCCTTATAAATATATTGCCAAGGGTTGTCTATTAATGCCTGGGTTAGAAACCAGGTTTAAAGTAATATTGACATAAGGGTATTTGTAACTGGACCCTTGATTCCACAGATTGTTTTACATTTCTATTTTATGATGTTTGAATATAATTTGCCTGTAAAGTATCATGCTTTAAGAAATTTCCCTTAGGATATTCTGGTGGGCATGGTAAAGATAGAAAGAGAAGAAGGAGGGAGGAAGGAAGTTTTACTTTTTACTTGACAGTTACAAAGATATTAAAACAGAGCCGGTACACTACTTTAGGAATTGCCCTTTTCCTTGTGTATTTTCTAGTCTTTGATTGTATTGAGGCAATAAATTTATTGTTTCTGCATAAGCAAGTCTGGACTTCCAAAGAAGACAGGAAGTCCCTTTCTTTTTAATGTTACCTAATAAACAAAACCATAGTGAAGAATTATGCTGAGCCCTTATTAAATTATGCTGGTCAATGAATCCAAAAATAAAAGCCTGAATCCTCTTATTTTCAGCTGGGCAGAAAATCACGAGCCTACAAAAAAGCTGTCTGGATAGACTGTGGCATTCATGCAAGAGAATGGATTGGCCCTGCCTTTTGTCAGTGGTTTGCAAGAGAAGTAAGTGAGACTCTTTGCAGAGTGCCGGCTTCAGCTAGTCCCATGGGTTTTTCATTCTGCTCGAGGAATAAAGTGGGGATTTGAGAACAGCAACACCTGATTGAATGACAATAATACTTTGATTCTGTAGGGTGCTTTCATGTTTATGAATCCCTCCATGGCCATTGATCAACTTGCATTCACCTCTATCTTCCAAAGGTAGAGGCATCTGCCCCAATTTAAAAAGCTGGGGTAGGAAGGTGCTGGGGGTGAACTCAATTGATAGCCTGCTTGTACCTAGCATGCTTCAGACCCTGGATTTGACCCCAAAGGCCACATTAACTGGTCATGGTGTTGCACATCCACCATCCTAGCATTTGGGAGAATGTGGCAGAAAGACCAGAAGTTTAAGGTCATCCTCAGCTGTGTAGAGTGTTCAAGGCCAGTCTGTACTAAAGGATACTCTATCTCCAAAAGCAAAGACAAAAACAGCTGGGCTCAGACCTTTTATGAACCTGAGGCAAACTAGGGACCAGACATAGCAGAAAACAAATAATAAAAGCCTAAAAATGTAATTTACAGTGGTCTACAGCAACTGTCCTGTTATCTTCAGCTGTGATGTCATTTTTGCCTCCCTTTCTAAATGACCACACCTATGCTAAAACAGCAAAGAGGTGAACAAATGGTTGCTATTCCTGCCTGCTGCGAAGCTGTAATTTGGAGATCAGGAGATCTCTAGCATCTGTGACTGATCATTCTCAGTGTCTGTTCTTCTTAAGGTGACTTTGACAGCTGATGACACATAAGGATTTCTCATTTCCAAACGCTTTGTTTGACTCTTGAGCTTGCTGACTGGGCTGGCATTCCAAGAATGTCCTGATTTTTCTTGTTTGGAACTTTCTTAAATCTTGATTTATAGTGTTTTTATTTTTGTGGGGATTGGGAAAGTCTTAAGAGATACCTAGTCACTAACGGTATCAAAAGTGAAAGAGCCTAAAGAAATGAAGGCTTGCTAGTCCTGTACTTTCAGGAAGCCATTAAGGATACAAAGGGTACTCAAATGTACTTCAGTCATATTTCACCCCGTTTTATGTGCAAATTGTGACTTTGAAGGCTCTCATAGGCATTACAGAATATATTTCATATTTCACAAGTGCTCTAAATTTACAACATATTTCTACCATAACCAAACTTGCAAAAGTATCCTTAATTTTATAGGTATGACAAAATAAGCAGGACTAACTTTTCTTCTTCAAATTACTGAATAACCCACATTCCTTTAAACACCATTCAATCCCACTGAAAAAATCATGAATAAGAAGTTGTTAACTCTATTAATATATCAAATACCCAGAGTTTAACAATAGAATATCTGATATTTCAAGTTTGGGGACAGAAAGGGAAAAGAAAAGATGCTTAAGTATGGAACATCTATTGTTCTCTGGCCCTGTGTATTATGGAAAGAATTTAAAAAGAAAAATTCCTGGGTTTGATCAGTGGCACCACAAAACCATACAAGAAAATGGGAGCAATAAACAGCAATGAAATCAGGATCCTCCCCCCAAAGATGAGTAAGAAAATGCTTCTTCCTTCCTCCTACACAAGGCGAACTTCATGCAGTCCATGACTGTCTCTGCAACCCTCCCCTCTCATTCACCCTCTCTGGTTACTGATGCCATCTGTTCCTCCACTTATCATTTCACATTTCTCCATAAGAATCAAGGTAATAATCGGAAGCAGACAAGAGGAGCTCTAGTAGTCATCCACTAGTGTCTGTGCACAAGGGATGATAGCCATGAATGACAGTGACTAGAACAAGTCAATATTTACATGACATGCTCATCTAAAGCAAAATATTTTCACCTGTCTTTGAAATTCCCATTACCTGGTTTGGGGACAAGAGACATAGGACTGTCAAGATTTAAATAGGTTAAAGCTACCAAGCATCACTACATCATCTCTTTTGCACTAATTCTGTCCTTTTGTTAAATCCTTGGTGACAGGCATAGTGGTGCCATCTTGTTTGATCAGGAGAATCATATGTCTTCCCAGAGAGACATTCAGGATACTGAATATATTCCCTTTTCTTACATTTCACCCTGATCTGCCAGTGGTTACCAAAGCCTAGCTTCTTTCTATTGTTGTCTCACTTTCTTAGATGCATTTTTCTGAAACTTAATGACTTGAAACAGTTATCATTGATTTCTCTGTTTCTGTGGGTCAGCAATTTTGCTGAACTCAGCTGATGCCTCTGACTTGGGATCCCTCACGGAGCTGCAGTCAGGAGTCCACTTGAGAACTCAAAACAGATTAAGAGAGAGGATGTACTTCTTTTTTTTTGTATTTATGAGAGAGGTTTCTCTGTATTGTTTTCGAGGCTGTCAGTCCAGCCTGGCCTCGAACTCACAGAGATCCGCCTGCCTCTGCCTCCCGAGTGCTGGGATTAAAGGTGTGCGCCACCACCGCCTGGCGAGAGAGGATATACTTCTAAGTTCATTCATAGATACGGAGGACATCAAGCCCCTCATTGGCCATCATCCCCTAATATTAGTTCCTTGCCATGTGGGTCTCTCTCCCTTGGAACATGGACCTGGCTTCCCTCAGAGCAAGTGGGAGAGATGGGAAGAAAAAGGATGCCCAAATTAGAAATGAGTCACGTTGCAGTCAAATCTCAAGAGTGACCTCCCTTCACTTTGCCAAATTCTGTCCACTGGAAGTGGGAGACATGAGGTCAAAGGCATACTCAAGAGACAGAGATTATACAAGGTATGGATACCAAGAGGGAGGCATCACTGAGGCTCACATCTGAGGCTGCCTACCACAGCCACCACTGTGAAACCTTACTCAAATATGAGCTACAAGAAAAATTAAATCAACCCTCTGCTCTTTTAGAGCAGACACACAGTATTTTATATGCACATGAGTTATATAACCCTAGCACTATGTCATTTAACCTCTCTAAAGTTCACCAACATGTGGATAATAATGCTATGTAACATACAGGGCTGCTAAGAGGGTTTAATAATGTAATACAAACAGGACCTAGAATGTTTGACAACTAGAAAGCACTTTATGATGTCAACTCATTACTATTAATATCAACAATTCAGTATGTTAAATAACCCACATAAAAGAGAACAACTGAAAAAATCAGTAAGGCTATAAAGGAGCTCAACGCTAACAAACAAAATGCAGTAGATGATTATAGATCACCCAACAACTTCAGAATATGCCTTCTTCAAAGTTCCTGTGGGATATGTAGTAGAAATACCTAGGTCAAAAAAAATCACACTGGAACAAATGTAAAGTGATAGATATCATCTGAGTGTGTCACCTAACCATAGTGAAACCAACCTAAAAACTGATCATAAAAACCTGAAAATTAAGAACAGTTCTAAATAATCCATAGATTAAAGAACAAATTCCAAGAGAAAAAGTTTAAAGAATACATTGGACAGGAAACAAATGGAAATACAACTTCTCAAAACTTGTGGGCGTGGCTAAATCAATACTAAAAGGAAAATTTAAATTACTGAAGTCACTCATGTTAATGGAGAAAAAAAGTCTCTAAACAGCAAGCTATTCAGCAAAGGACCTGTGTCTGGTGAGCAAAATGGGAACAATAAATGAACCTCAAAGTAGGGAGCAAGAAAGTAATAAAAATAGGAGAATAAATCAGTATGATTGAATGCAGAAAATTATTAGAGAATGAAATAAGGGAAAAGTGACAAAATCCTCATGTGCTAGTTGATCTCAATTGTCAACTTGACAAAATCTAAAATCACCTGAGAGGTGGGCATCTGGGCAAGCCTATGAAGGGGCATCTTGATTGGGTTGCCCAAAGATAGTAGCCTTCCTGAGGCTGGGATCTCAGACTGTATCTACGGAGAAACTGACCTGAGGACTAGCATTCATCTCTCTCTGCTTCCTGACTGTAGATGCTGTGTGACAGGCTGCCTCAAGATCCTGATGCCATGCTTTTTCCGCCACTAATCCCTGGAACTGTGACCTGCAAATAAATGCTTTATTCTTCATCATGATTTTGTCAGAGTTTTTTTATCATAGCAACAAAGAAGTAACTCGACATTTAGCAAGACAAAGAAAGAAATCAAGACAAATAACCAAGATTAGGGATGAAACAGGCCATTCTGTATATACAACAGATATCAAAAGGATAATGAAAACTATGAAAGGACACATAAACTTCACAACGTAGGAAAATGAACAAATTAACTGCAAAACACAAACTACTAACTGCTACAGTACACTTTTAATAAAACAGATCATTTCAACTCTAGTAGACTCATAGTTTACCTCATGGCCAGGGCTTGGATTCCAGTGGTCCTGGGAATTAGTGTAGGACCAAGATTCTGACTCAAGCAGTCTGAGTTCAGCTCCAGATCTGGGTTTATTTCCAGAGTCCACTATGGGATGGGGTTCTGACTCCAATGGTGCCAGAGTTCACTGCAGGACTAGGATGCTTACTCCATCTGCTTACCCTGGTGATCACTATATGGCCTGCCCATGATCCTGCTGCCTCCTAGCCAAGACTAGAAAACCTCAACAAATTCAGGCAGGAATCAAGACCAAGCTTCTCTCTTCTCCACAGCTAAACTTCATGTTGACAGCCCTCTAAGCAGACACAGAACGGGCTAAAGAGATGGCTCAGCAGTTAAGAGTACTGCCTGCTCTTCCAGAGGAGCAGGGTTCAATTCCCAGCACCCACATGGCAGTTCACAACTGTCTGTGTCTCCATTTCCAGGGGACCCAACACCCATGTCAGAACACCAATGCACACTGAATAAAAAATAAAGAAAAAGACCTGTTGTTTTTAAAGCAGACAGAAAAATGAAACAACCAAATAAAGTTGGACAAAGGGAAGTTAAAATTGGATGAGAAGTCCATTCCAACAAGTGTGTAAGACATGACAAAGAAACACAAAGTGACAAGGGACCCATCCCAAGATCCCTAGAATGGAATCCAAAACCAAAGAGATGCCTGAAATATCTTATAATTCAGAA